TTATCCCATGCCAGAAAACTAGACATCCTTTTTCTCTGCCTCACAGTAATTTTGCAGGGTAGGACCTGGCATTCTTATTTCATAGCTAAGAAGAATCAGGTTTAGAAAGAAGGTAGTGTAATTGGCCTAAGGCTGCACACTAACACAATAGTAAGTATGAGTTAGGATTGTAACCTAGGTCTGTCTGACCTCCCCAACTCATACTGCTACTGTGGCATTGTGCTATAAGAAGAAATACATATTTGGTTTTTGTCCCAAATTCCTGGCAGATGCTCAACCTTTGTAATTTTGTTAGTGACAGGTGACAGGTGATGGGCGAGAAGTTCATCTTTTGTTATGTTTGGTTTTAGCCCTCAGTTTCCTGATGCTGAGCTTCTAGAACCCCTGGAATCAATGGAGTAAATGTCCTTGCATATGCTGATGAGGTGACCAGGTCCCTAGACAGTTTCAGGATAGGAGCTAGTGCCCAAATAGACCAGAGTAGAGGACTGGAACTTTCAGTCCTACCCAACCAGGGCTGAAGACTGGATTGAACTCTAGTGGCCAGTGCTTTGAATCAAGGTGCAATGCCACCCCCCCAACAAACACCCAGAATGACAGAGTTGAGGGACCCTGGGTGGACCAATGCACCTACAGACCGGGTGTGCATCTTAACTCTACAGTGACAGAAGCTCCTGCTCGGGACCCTCTGACTTCACCCTGTCTCTGTATGTCCATTTGATTCTCTCCCACCCCCTTTAAGATAGTATTAAAAATTATATTACCACAGAAAACATAAGTAAGGTGTTTCCTGTGTTCTGAGAGTCATTACAGCAAATTATTGAACCTCAAGTGGGATTTGTGGGGATCCCCAAGTCAAACAGAAGTATGGGTAACCTTGGGACCATTACCTGTGATTGCCATCTTAGGCTGGAGGGGGGCATTTCTGTGGGACTGAACCTTTAACCTGTGGGTCTGCACTATCACTGAGTGATGAGTGTTAGAATTGGATTAAATCATGTCGGTGTCAGCAGAGAACTGCTTGGTGTGGAAAGCACACATTTGGTGTCAGAAGTATTGAATAAGAAAGTTTTCCTTTACCAAGTTCTAAGAAGTACCTACAATCACAGCCCAAGTGTGCACAAGTGTGCATGTGC